TTTTCATCTCGGATTTCAGCAGCAACCAAAGCTAAAGAAGCATGGGATGCTCATATGATCTATTTAGAGGAGCATTCAATTCCATAATATCTAACTAAATTCTTCAAGTCAACTTACTTATACAACCCCAATAAAGGCAATCAGCGATTCATATCGCAGTGTAGATGTCTTGTGTGAATATGTTATGCTTGAACGTCTCGAGCTGAAAAGAACGACATTCATTAGTATCTAAGGAATGAAATACAATTATGTCTAAAAAATTGTAAATTGAAGGATAGATGGGGGGTTGGGCACAACACTTTGGTCACAAGCGGTGCCAACCACCAGATTGTTGTCACATGAGCTCTCACTACTTGACCTCTAACTCACGCGAGTAGAAAAATGGAAAATGAACCAGGAAATCATATTATATATCCAAAACCACACATATTTGACCCATGTTTATTGACACTGGCGAAATATATAGAAGAGTTGTGGTTGCAGTAGCTGTACAATTAATTGACACATATGCAACAACTGATTAAATTAACCAGCGATTATTCAAGATTTATCAGCATGAACTCATTAATCATTTCACTGCATCTTCACTTATTTTTCCATTGGTTATTGTCCTCAATCAAAAGCATATCGTCTGTATAACCCTATAAATGGCAAAGTGTTAGTAAGTAGGAATGTCAGTTCAATGAAGAGGCTACATTAAAGTAGAGTGTTTACAAGGATGGTGCCATTACATTGTTCCTACATATTTTGATGAAAAATAAAAGTGATGTAAAAAGGTGTTAGAAATTTAGATCCTGCACTTCTGAATGGCAGTATCAGCAGCGTCTCAAATACGCCTGCGCAACTCAGTTCAAGAAACAATAGCAGCGCAGAATCGTCACCATCCTCTATCCAACACAGCAGTAGTGCAGAATCGTCACCATCGACTATCTTATCTAGAACTGCAGCAGCACTGAATCGACCCCAGAATAATTCAAATCTATTACAGAAATTTATGAATCATGTGAGTTTTCTTTGATGGCGGCTGATCCTACCTCTTTCGAAGAAGCCGTACAAAAATCAAAATGGAAAGACGCTATTGTAGAGGATCTGAATGCTACTGAAAAAAAAAAAAAAAAACTCAACTTGGGAGTTCGTCGATGCCCCACATGATAGAATTGTTGTTGGCTTGAAATAGGTGTTTCGTACCAAATAATGTAGATGGAAGTATTCAAAAGCACAAAGCTCGACTCATCCCAAAAGGATATTCACAACATGGTATAGACTTTGACAGAACTTTTTCTCAGGTTGCTTCCTTTAAAACTGAGAATTATTTTGGCCTTAGCTGCTCCATTAAATTTGCCAATTTATCAATTTGATGGGAAGTCTGCTTGCATTCGAAGACGAGGTGTATGTTTTTTTCAACCTCCTCGATTTAATATTATTGGAAGTGAAGATAACGTTTAAAGCTACGAAAGACTCCTTATTGTTTGAAGCAAGCTCTCCTGGCTTGGTACAGTGAAATGGATTCATTCTTTCACAGAAATGGATTCTCAAGAAGTGAGGACGAGCATAGAAGAAAGGTAATGACGATTTCTTGTTGGTCTGTTTATATGTTGATGATATGGTATATCTCACATCGTCAAAGGCCTCACTTGATGATTTTAAGCATAGGATGATGAGGAAATTCGAGATGACAGATCTTGGCTTGCTAAAGTATTTTTTGGGACTTGAGGTTATTCAAAGTGAAGATGGAATTTTGTCGATCAAAAGAATGCAGATCTTCTAAAGAGATTTGATATGGTGAATTTTGAAGTTGTAGCCACACCAATGAATATTAATGGGAAGTTACAGAATGAAGACCGGACAGAAATAGGAGAATGCAACATTATTTCGAAGTTTGATTGGTGGCTTTAATTATTTAACACACACTTGACCTGATATTTCTTTCTCGGTCAGTGTTGTGTCCAGATTTATGCATCATTCCACGAAACAAAATTTTGGAGCTGGAAAGAAGATTCTTCGTTACATTGCTGAGACATTGAACTTTGGCATTTGGTACAATAAGGAAAAAAATTTCAGACTTGTTGGCTTCACTCATAGTAATTGGGCTGCGTGCATTGATGATCGGAAAAGTGTGTCCGGTAATGTATTTAATCTCAGTTCCAGAGCAGTAATATGGAGCTCTAAGAAACAAACACAGTAGCTTTATCATCATGTGAAGCTGAATACTCAGCAGCAACTTCGGCAGCAAAGCAATGTTGGGGAAAGCTTTGTAAAGTCAATCGATGTTTCACAGGCTGCAAGGAAGAAGAACTGATATGTATATTATTCTTACAATCCGGAAAAAGGAGTTCAACAATTAAAACATACCATAGTGATATTAAGATTGATTACATCAAATCAATCCAAATATGAAAATAAGCTTTGCAAAGTCAATCGATGTTTCACAGGCTGCAAGGAAGAAGAAGAACTGATATGTATATTATTCACAATCCCGAAAAAAAAAGAGTTCAACAATTAAAACATACGATAGTGATACTAAGATTGATTAATAATCACTCTTTATTAAGATACTTTATTTAGATAATTACTTAATATTTATAATATTAATATAATTAATTATTTAAAATATTTGAAGCATATTATTCAATACTCCCCCATGCTTCAAATCTGCAAACTCCAAGTCGCCTTCGGAAATACTTAAGCTTCTCCCAAGAAAGTGCCTTAATAAAAGCATCTGTCACTTGATCATTGGTAAAAACGTACTCCAACTGAAGATCACCATTTGCCACCAAATTACAAATGAAATGAAACCGAGTATCGATATGTTTTGTCCTCTTGTGATACGCTGGATTCTTTATCATTGCAATAGTGGTTTTGTTGTCACAATAAATTGTTGTTGCATTCTTTTGCCCTTGGAGCATATCAGCCAGTATTCTTCTCAACCACACAACTTGACACACTGCAGCAGTCACAGCAACATACTCCGCTTCGGATGAGGACAATGTAACAATATCCTGCTTTCTCGAACTCCATGAAATAGCACCGGAACCTAAGTTGAAGCTTTCACCAGAAACACTCTTCCTGTCGTCTATGCAAGCAACCCAATCGCTGTCACTAAATCCCTGCAACTGAAATTCAGCATCTTTGGAATACCAAATCCCCTAATCAGAGGTCCCAACTATGTATCGAAGCACTCTTTTTGCTGCTCCCAGATGTTGCACGGTAGGATTATGCATGTACCTAGATAGCAAACTCACAGAATACATGATATCAGGACGAGTATGTGTAAAATAATTTAGTCCACCTATTAGCCTTCGAAAATAGCTCGGATCAGCTGCTTTGGTTCCATCTTCCAGCTGCAACTTCTCGTTAGTATTCATCGGTGTGGTTTCTGCTTTGCAATTGTGCATGCCAAACCTGAGTAAAAGATCATTAGCATATTTATTTTGTGAGAGAAATATGCCATCTTCAGCTTGCTTTACTTCAAGTCCGAGAAAATAACTAAGCATCCCCAAGTCCGACATTTCAAGCTCACTCATCATACACATCTTGAAATCAGCAACTAAGGTCTCACTTGATCCCAAATATATCATGTCATCGACATAAATGCAAACAAGTAGAAACTCACCTTTGTCATTTCTTTTTGCATACAGTGTTGGCTCACTTTCACTCCTCATAAATCAATTCTTTAGAAAGTATGAGTCAATTTTTTTATACCACGCCCGTGGTGCTTGTTTAAGCCCGTATAACACCTTTTTTAGCTTAAAAATTTGTGTTCTTTGCCTTGAACCACAAAGCCCTCAGGTTGCGAGGCATACACCTCTTCTTCTAAACTCCATTTAAAAATGCAGATTTAACATCGAATTGATAAACCGGAAGCTATAAATGTGCAGCAAGACAAAAAAGAGTTCTTACAGTCTCAAAGCGAACCACGGGTGAGAAAGTCTCATCAAAATCAACACCTTTGTGTTGCACATAACCTTTTGCAACCAGCCTCGCTTTGTACTTATTCACAGTACCATCAGCATGATAGTTGACTTTGAATACCCACTTGAGACCTATTGGAGTTTTTACTTCAGGAGGTTCAACCAAGTCCCACGTCTGATTGCACACAATCGCCTTCAATTCTTCTACCATTGCAGCTTGCCATTGTTCCTTTCCAACGGCATCTTCAAAACATGTAGGTTCCGATATGTACAATGCAAAGCTGCAGTTTCCATAAACTTCCGCCACTGATCTGAATTTTTTCGGAGTGTGCTCATAAGTAGAACGAGAAGGATATCCGTTGCTACTTCAACTCGAATCTGGGGAATCCCACAAACAATCTGCAGAACCTCCTAAATTTTCACCTTCAGCATGTATCGCAGTCTCAGAAGAGTGATTAAAAATTCCATCTACTTTTATTGTTGCTCTAGCATCTTCACTTCCTTTCCAAGTCCAACCTTTATTTTCATTGAATTGGACATTCCGACTTATAATCACCTTGCCACGTATTGGATTATATAGTTTGTATGCCTTGGATTGAACACTATAACCCAACAACACACACTTTTCTGACTTTTCATCAAGCTTTGATTGAGATTTGGTCAAAACATATGTTGCGCAGCCAAAGGTTCTTAAGTGGCTTACCTTGGGCTTGTGACCATTCCACGCCTCATATGGCGTCTGATCATAAACAGCTTTCGTCGGAGAAATATTCAAAATGTAGATGGCCGTAGCTACTGCTTCAGCCCAGAACTTTTTCGGAACTCCCTTTGCGACCATCATGCTTCTGCCATCTCAACAATGATGCGATTTTTATGTTCAGCTACGCCATTTTGCTGTGGCGTGTAAGGTGCAGTCAGCTCTCTACGGATTCGATTCTCTTCACAAAACTCATTGAACTCACGTGAAACAAATTCACCACCTCGATCAGTCCGAAGAGATTTAATTTGGCACCCACTTTGTTTATCCACCAACACCTTGATGTTGAAGAGATCAAGCAGTTGAAAGTTAAGCTGTTTAAGGAATTTGAAATGAAAGACTTGGGAAAACTGAAGTACTTCCTCGGCATTGAAGTTCTGAGATCTCAAAAGGGAATATTCATCAATCAGAAAAAATATACCCTTGATCTTTTTACTGAAACAGGAATGCTGGACTGCAAACCAGCAAACACGCCGATCGTTGTCAATCATGGATTGCAGATTAGAGAAGGAACAGAGTCAGCTGATCGGGGAAAATACCAATGTCTGGTAGGCAAACTTATCTATCTCTCATATACTATACCAGATATTGCCTACGCTGTAAGCATGGTAAGCCAGTTCATGTATCAACCCCAAACTGATCACCTCGAAGCTGCACTAAGAATCGTACGGTACTTGAAGGGAACGTTCGACTACGGGTTATTGTTCCAAAAGACCGCAAAGCTCGAGATCCAAGCTTATATAGATGCAGACTGGGTGGGAAATCCAAAAGACAGAAGGTCAACCGTTGGATATTTACACTCTCGTTTGAGGGAATCTTGTCTCATGGAGAAGTAAGAAACAAAGGGTTGTGTCTCTCTCGAGTGCAGAAGCTGAGTTCAGAGAAATTAAAGGTGGACTTACTGAAGTCCTTTGGCTAAGGAAACTCTTGACATAGCTGGATCTCAACAACATTTCCTATGCTCTTTATAAGTGCGTTGACCGCCCACTTTTTGTTACGGAAAAATTCGGTACAGAAACTTTTTGTAGCTCGAGTATATGCACCGGTCAAAATCCGGTACAAAATTGTTACAAATAGCTTTTTATAACGAAAAATGGTCATTTGTAGCGGTTTTAAAGCCGCTACAAATGGCCATTTTTTAGTAGTGGCATTAGTTTGAATGAACTTATACATATCTTTTCGATTGACATTGGATTGATTGTAAACAATGTATTCACTCAAATGTTGTTTGAATTGATGCTAGTTGAGGGCTTTCCAGATCAGCTAAGGGGTGCTGTTGTTGGTGGTGTTGTTGTGGTGGTATCAAAGAGGATGGATCCGAACCCGAAGCTGGCTCTTTTGCTGGAACTTCAAATTAGACGATGACAATTAATTGGGTACAGATATGATTTAAGACCAAAAATATTGTCGGCCTAAAAAAACAATCCAATAAAATTGTTCTCTTTGAATATGACACCAATTGGGAAACATTTCTTTTAAAACCTAATAAAATTAAATCTTCTCTTGTGTAATCTGTTTCGACACTTAATTAAAAATTGTAAGAGCCCCAACCCCACTCTCAACCTATTGCAGAATTTGTGCAAAGATTTTTTAAAAAAATTGGACTGATATTGTAGAATTACATTCAAATTTTGAAAAATTGATCCATATTCATTCCCTAGAATAAATTGAACAAGAAACCTTGTGCGCAATGCTGAATAATACCACTCACTACCATAGCCTTCATAATGTATGTATTCATGTGTGTAATTTAGGTCACAATATTGTATGTTTCTGTTCATATTGAGTTTGAGGTGTTTGAGGGAGCAAAAGTGTAAATTCTTATTTAATTATTTTTATGTAATTAATTAATTTTTATGTATGTTTATATGGATTATATTTCTTGTCCATTTTATTCATTTTTACGCTCTATTTTAGTTCTAATGTTATTCCTTAATTACTATTTTTCTGAAAAAATTAAAATATTATTATTATAAATTTCCATCCAAACCTGTGTTTGGTAAAATGAGGATAGAAAAATAGAAATATTCCATTTCGTTTCTTTGGTTGATATAAAGAATTGAGAGTTAAGAAATAAATAATTTTATATTCCTGTTCCATTTATGTCATATGCAGAGAAATTGGGAGAAATGAAACAGAGAGAGTACAGTGTGTGTTAATTTATTTTATTTTTTACATTTAACTTTTACTATCTAAGGGTCCATTTGAATTGACTTAAAAAAATAAGCAGAAATCAAAAATAGAAGAAGAAACAGTTCAATTTTGTGTTTGCATGAATTGTATAAAAACAACTTTTATAAAACTATTGTTTCAAGTAATAGAGTTGAAGTATTTTTAAAAGTGTTAAAATTACTGAAAAGACACAATGTTAATATAATACTCCCTCCGTCCACTAACAATATACACATTTACTTTTGGCGCGGTATTTAAGAAATAATAGTATTTTAATTATAGTAGGTAGTTTAAAATAGTGTAATGACATTTTTGTAAAGTAATGATGTAATGTAAAGTAAGGGTATTGTTGAAAAAAAAAGTAAAGTATTTAATAAAATGTTTGTAATTGGATGTCCCAAAATAGAAATAACTATATTTTTTAGCTGGACCTACTAATAATTTTAGTATAATTAAAAAAATTTTATACGCCTATTTAAATTTGTTATGTTAATTTTAGTTTTAAATTTTAATTAAAGTAGAACAATATATTAGAAATAATAATTTAATTTTTTATTAAAATATAATATATTTATTTTTATATTATATATATGCATAAATTAATTATTTTTATAGTATATTATATTACATTATTGTATTTATTATTATTAAAGATAAAATAATTGAAAAGTGGTTCTGCCCTCAATGTGCTTTCAAAAGCTGTGCTTTTGGATATAAGCGAAGCAAACAAGTAGAAAATACTTTTTCTAGAAGTAGAAGGCAAAAGCTAATGCTAAAAGCCAATCCAAATAGGTCTAATTTGTATTAATTCTTTTTCTTACTATTATTTATTTTCTTTAATTTTTTTATATTATTCAAAACTCATGAAATATCTTATTTAAATTATCATTAAAATAAATTATCAAACTAAAAATATAACTAAAAGATACAATTTATTATTTTTTAGTGATCGATTTTTTTCAACTAGTGTTGTTTTTTTTTAATATTTTTAAATTAAATTCTCTGTTTTACTATATTCATTCTCTACTAAATTCTTTTTCTCTACAATTTCATTCTCTGTACAAAAAACACCCAAATATATAATTCTCATTCATTTTCTAAAATTAATTATATATATTTTTCTATCTTATACACACATTTCTATCTAGAAAAAACATTTTCAAATAAACCTGAACACCGAATTTACTAATCACTCATTTAAACAACATAGTCGCGAGCAGTTTGTGTTAAATTTCTAGAATAAGAAAATGAAAGTGTTAGTATGGTTTGCATTATGTTGTATTATGGTGAGAAAGTTCAAAAAAAATTCTTAAAAAAAGGCTTGACAAGAAGAAGTCCGGAAAGAAGGATGCTAGTGTTCGAAATAACATGCCAACAAATGGGAAACAAACAAGAATTCTGAGAACAGCATAAATAAGCTCAAGAGGAAAAAAGACGATTTTTTTTTTTTTTTTTTTATGACGTGGGAACCCACAGCTGTTACCCGAAAGTGCGCACTGGGTAAACCCCCGGCCGAACCTAGTACCCTGCAAACCAGGCCCGACGGAAAAGTCACACTAGGCAACCTGAGACGTCGGGGGTTTGAACCCATGACCTCACGGTCACAAGTCCAACCCCCACACCACCAGGTCATCCCTTCCGGGACAGACAATAAAGTTTCTTTCTACGAGTGGAGGACAAAGTAATAAGAAACCAGAATGTGCCAATGCACTAAGGGTGTGTTTGTTTCGGGGTTTGGATTTTGAGTTGGAATTTGAATAGTAAAAATTTTGAATTTGAATAGTTATATGATGTGATATAAATAGATGTTGATGTGATGTTTTGAATGTAAAATTGATTTTTAGTATAATATAAAAAATGAAAAATAGGTGTTTGATTTGATGTTTTTGGAGGGAAAAAATTGGATGAACAGTAGAAATCTAATTAAATCCCCAAAACAAACACACCCTAAATGGAAAGAGCAAAACACTACGGTTTTAGGAATTACCTAGAGCCATGAATAATTTTATACTGAACAAGAAGAGAATTCCAAGACTACATTTCTTATTGCAAAGAATCGTGTGATTCACAAAGACACTTCTAGCAGTGAAGATGAAAGCGAACATGAAGATGAAAAAATTAAGTTAACTGTCTCTGAAATTATTGAAGCATATAAAGAGGTGTGTAGAAAAAGAAAAGAAAGCTATCTACGGAGAACTAAAAAGTGCTTGAAAGCAAATTAATGAGATGGAAAATAAATTCAAAATTTGCAAAGATCATTACACCAAAGAAATTATGCTATTGAAAGAAAAATGACTGGAATTTGAGAGAAGCAACAACAAAGCAAAGAGAAGTATGATGAAATTGCTAAGTCGAAAATGTAAAAAGAAGATTTGAGATTGAAGAATGTGGAGTTACAGAAAAATACAAATGAGCTGAAAATAGAGCTGAAAGATATGAAAATAAAAGAGATTTCAAGTACGATGTGTATAGAAATTTTTTGATATAAGATATAGAAAATCGTGTAGAGAATATAAAAGTATTTTTTTAGAAAATCGTGTATGAAGAAAAAGATAGAAAGAACACACCCTAACTATCCTAAAGAAATTCGAATGAACAATAATACAAATTAACAATAAAATAAATAAGTAATGCCGATTTGTCAAGAATTAAAAATCTCTAGCCCAAGGTTTGAATATAAAATCAGATAATTGATTAGATTATTGGATTATATAATCTAATCAATCGATAAATTGGTTATAGGTATTCGATACAATAAAACATCCAAATTTTCCTAACCTTACCGGTGGCAATGGTTTGACCAATTAACCATACTCTAATTGAAAGAATCAAATTAGGTACGGCCATAATAAAAATTCTTCAATTATAAATAGTGCGAGAAAAATCCATTTTGAATATTTAATCAATTACGAAAGATTTTTTATTGGATCATGCAATTCCTATGCTAAGTGCATTAACCTATTTACTACTTTATCGAATAAATACAAAATTACGGATACAATTATTCAATTAGCATACAATCAATAGATAGACTTAAAACCTGGCCACAATAATACATCACATATAATGCTTGTAGACACTATACACAGTGATCGCACAGATACCAATTAATAGAAAAATTCAATTAAAACACAAAACTATCTCACAAATTCATAATCCAAAATTTCAATCCAACCTTAGACTAAAATAAAATTTTAGCGACCAAACATCACTAAGAATAAAAAACAATTAAATTCTTCTTGAAAGAAGATGAGAAGATTGTGCAGCCGTCACTTGAATATTTTAATTTTTGTTCCACCGAAATTCCACTTGATGCGAAATTTCAATTTTATCTCTTGAGACTTTGGCTTATTCAAACTTCCTCTATGCATGGGCATATATACTTAAATCGAATCAATAATCTGAAATTTTTACATTAATCTTCAATTTTTTCCATTTCTAACACAAAATCACATTCAACAAAAAAATCGGTAGGAACTATGCAAAATTATAATCAATAGGTGCAATTAATGAACAAAAAATTGTATGAACACTAAGTTCATCATTTATATCTATATATGTAGGTTTGTTTGTGTTCGATAATATCTTAGATTTTTATTTATTTATGAAAATATAATTATTTTGCATATTTAATCTAGATTTTATTAGAAAGAAAAAAACTTGT